TATTTTTCTGACAGAGATGAAACCAATGAACGGAGATCACTGATTCCAGGATCTAGATTAATTCCAAAAAGGTTGAACAGTGTTTAGATTAGCGATCCAATAAGCTTCTTTTATTTCTCTATCTGCTTTAGTTTTGAACCCTGTTTCAATGCCGATGAGAGTAACATCATTAATGGAATGACCGGGTTGGTTAAAGTGTTGAGCAACAGGGAGATCTTTTTCGGTGATAATAGAATATTTATGGTTGTTGAAACGTTCTCTAAGAGTTGTTTGTGTATGTCCTACATATTGGTGATTGCATTTTTTACACTGTATAAGGTAAGCGGTGTTTTTTATTTCACAAGTGATTTCTTTGGATATTCTAAAGTTTCTTTGATTGTGTTTGTTAGAAAATGAGTCAGTGGTTTTTTATAAACTTGCAGGTATGACAACGGGCTTTATTACATGGACGACAACCATTTTTGGGTGGGATGTAATTCCCTCTTGTGTGAACAAGGATATCTTTTAGAGTTCTGCTTTTTCGGAAGGAGACAACGGGAACTTCAGGAAATATCTGTTTAAGACTGAGTTTAAACTGATGAGTAATAGTAAGAGAAATTCTATTTGAAAGTTTAGTATTGCTCTGATTCAGGATGATTTTCCGCTGAGTGTTGTTGGTGTATGTATATAATAATTTGGCATGTATATTTATAACCAACAAATTACAGAACTGAGAAGCTGTGATACAGCATTACTTCAACTTCTAGTTTTTTTACCTTAGGCTATTCCTTAACCTGTTCTTAACAAGAGCAGATGACACATTCAAATGCACATTTCATCAAACACCTACATGACATTTACATATATTATCAAGACAACTATGCAATATTCATCACACAGGAACAACCTAAAAGAAAACCTAACCAAAATAGATTACATTATAACTATCGAAGACAACGCAAAACAAAAAATAAGTACAAATGAACAGATTATCATAACCACAAAGCAATAGCATGGGCAACTATACTTATCTAAATCTGGCAACATGACAACTTAACCCAGATGGTTACTCTAAACATAAAACACAACACCATACATACCCCTAATCTGTCCTAAGCCTAAAGTTCTCCAGACATCCATTACAATAAACTTCCGAACAATAATTAAATGAAACAAATCAGAAAAAAATTAACTAAGAATAACATTACACACTGAACTTAACAGTTTTTTCATTAGATAACAAACATTGCGTATACATAAAAAAGTAAATGCTTATTAAACAGATTTGTTTGTTTGTCGTTAAGCGCAAAGCTACACAAAGGGCTATCCGTGCTACGCCCACTACGGGTATCGAAACCCGATTTCTAGCGTTGTAACTCCGTAAACAATACCGCTGTGCCAGTGGAGGCTGTTACATAGAACGCTTTTCTTTGTTTTTATTTCAAAACATTTAAAGGGTTACCAAAAAATGCGATTATAAATACATCTAACGTATATAAATTTGGTTTGTTCTGAATGTGTCGCAAAGTTACTCAACAGCTATCTGCACTAGCCGTCCCTAATTTAGCAGCAATAGACTAGTGGGAAGGCAGCAAGTCAACACCACCCATCGCCAACTCTTGGGCTACTCTTTACCAACGAATAGTGATATTGATCGTCACATTATAACGTCACTACGGCTGAAAATATTAGCATGTTCGGTGACAGGGATTCAAACCCGCAACCCGCAGATTACGAGTCGAGCGCCCTAACCAACAAGCCATAAGTATATAAGAAACAAAATATAAGCTCCAATTTGGACGCTTTTGAAGTAAATGAAGTAGACATTGTAAATACAAATTTACAATTCTTGCGACCTTGACATGAAAAAAATAAGCAAACCACATAAAATGCACTTAAAGCAACAACAACCAAATCCCCAGATCAATAATGGTTAGAGACGGCTTGAATGGGTAATGAAGAAAAACTTTAATATAAGTTTAACATAACAGCAAATGTACAACGTTTCGACGAGGTTTTGTCATCATCACCATCGTACCTGATG